TCTTAAACTCTCTACCACCTGTCATAAGACAAAAATGTCATCAAGCTTCCATTATGACCCTAAATCTCTCTTGTTGTCTTACAAAATAGAATTTCACAGAGATATGTGGCACCAAAAGTCTACTACAGAAACACAGAAAAGTATGGCTTATATAAGAAAGCTTCATGAAAGCCAAAAAATGCATGGAGTGTGATTATCACCACAACTCTCTCTACCACCTGTCATAAGACAAAAATGTCATCAAGCTTCCATTATGACCCTAAATCTCTCTTGTTGTCTTACAAAATAGAATTTCACAGAGATATGTGGCACCAAAAGTCTACTACAGAAACACAGAAAAGTATGGCTTATATAAGAAAGCTTCATGAAAGCCAAAAAATGCATGGAGTGTGATTATCACCACAACTGGCAAAAATTCTAGGGTATAATTTGGATGTAGTTATGGTTTTGATATATGAGGTAGACAGTAAAAATAAACTTGATAAGTTCCTCCTCTAGAACAGCTTCTGGAAAATACTTAGATGTTATTTTTCTTGTTTGAAGTCAAGTATAATGTGCAAAGAACTATACAGCATTTTCTTGTCATGAGAGTGGGTGGACTGAATGGCAGTCTACCAGTGTTTCACCCATCTGACCATGATATACTCACTTGTCAACAGATTGAGGCTTGTGATTTTGGGGAAGACATAATTCTTGGGCACAGCCTAAAGATAAACATGGTCAGAGGCAGCGTGAGGTCCAAGGATAAAACTCTGGAGAGAAACTGCAACTAATGCAACAAAAAAGAACTTAAAAAAACTTCTTGAGATTTTTCTATGGAAAATCACTGACAAGTTTTCATTGTAAAGAAAAGAAACACGATTTTCTAGCATTTTACACCAAATTTCCAAATTAATGAAGATCCATAGATGTACTTCTCAATATCATGTTCAGATTGAGTTGCCTGAAGCAGAGCCAGTTCCACAGCTACAGATACTGCAAAACACACAGGACTAGTCCTGGCAATACTAAAATAAAAAGTCTTCTGCTTTAAAATAACAAAAAAAGAGAATGAATTCTTGACTGAATTGGAACATCCCTGTACAC